TAAGGTGTTATTTATCAAGATTTAAATCTGATTTGCAAAACAGCTGAAAAAAAGAGTTATGAGACTGGATATAAACAAGATATTATAAAAGGAAATTGTCATGCAGTCTGCATCCATCTTACCAGTGAAGAACTGCACAATTACTGTGTTTTATGCAGCTCTTGAAGACCAAAAGATAAGCAACAGGGAGGAAATTAATGCCACGTCAAAGGACACAGCTAAGATTATAAAGTAACCAAATCTCTATATGAGATCTGTTAAACAATCCATACCAACGTGCAAAGAGATTACTAATTCCAAGTTACATTGTGGATGTGTGCACATGCACATATGGAGAATCAATGCTTCCAGCCCAAACGAGAATGCATAGAGTTGCTGGGCTAACCAAAAATATCTCTTTATAAAAATTTGAAATCCAAGCTAAAAGGAAAAGGAAGCAGACAGCATCTAACCAACTTTGGTCTCAAATGCTAAGCAGGGTCTGTCCTGGTTAAATGGAGTACCAAAGAATAATTCTAGGGCTGTAATCAGCAGTTTTTTGGGGGAGATAAATGTCACCAAAATGGTGGGCATGATTAGGCAATCAAAGCCACTCCCCCCCTTTTAGCATGCACCACATGCATTGCACACAAATAAAAAGACACAATATTTTTACTGCTTGCTCACACCCACCATTCTGTTCTTATTGGCACTCATTCTTTAGGTGACCCTGCCTGGGCAAATTGAAAAAACTTGCCAGAAGGCATCCTTGGCAAACCACTTCCCAAAAGCTGCATGGATGAAGCCATGAGGAACTGGGCTCAACTCAAGGGCACCTGCCAAGATTCTGAAAGACACATTTCCCCATTTATCTAGGAATAGGCATGTATAAGCCTAGTTCAATGAGTAGATTACTTGGCAGCCTTAGTTTATCTTCATAAGTTCATTTACAAAAAAGTCTGAGAAAGAATAAAGAACTCCTCTTTTTTATAACAAGGTCCCAAGCTATCTTTAATTTCTGTCATTTTCCGTTTGTTTGTGTCTAAGTTAATAGGAGGAAATGCAGCACATTTAATAGGAAATTTGGCTTCAAGGTGCTTAGATCAAATCCTTACAAGTATAGCCCTAGGTGTTCAATGCCATCTGTATGCTGATGATGCCCAACTTCTCTTTCCCACTGAAATCCAAGGATGGGCTTCAATTCCAAATGGGCTTCTGACACTCTTAAAGGCTGGATGAGAGCAAGTCTTCAGTCTGGATGCCCAGAATTAAATGCATCCATTTCGGTATACACTTCATCCTGTCATAACATGCCAATTTGGAACATGCTATGATGTTTTTTAAAAAAAAGTATTTGAAACCTTAAAAAAGAGAGAGAGAGAGAGAGAATAGGCTCTCCGACTGTCTTCTAATGAAGTGACCTTCTTTAAGGGTAAAGACAAAAGCTAGGCTGCTTTTGGCATTTAAGGCACCTTGCGGTTGAGGTGGGTGTTACTCTGAACAATGCTGCTATTGATTTCTAATTGAATGTTGATGGATTGCCATTTTAATGATTAAATTACAAGGTTATCACTTATTCTTTATGTTATTCCTTAAGGTTTCTTCTACCTCAATCTGGGGACTCCAGTTTATCAGAATGGCATTGATAATGGAATAACGGATGAATACAATACTGAAATCTCTTCAGGTTTTATCATTAAGATATCTATATAAGCAGTACTATATTTATTTTCCAAGGAAACTTTCTTAAATAAGACACATACACATAACAATAAATAAATCAATTGGGCATGGAGGGGGAAGCAAAACCATCAACAATTAGACTAGGTTAAAACTAAGGAGCCTAGAGTTAGTCAATATTAATTTAGAACAAGATAATAACTGATTTGATTAATGTCTGCTAGGAATTGTGAAGATTTCAGGTTCATTTCTCTCCAGGTCACACAAAAAGGCAATGGTTAATCAAGATACTAGTCTACTCTTGATATTCAAATTGTTTTTGTGAGGTAATGTGATATCCTTTTTATGGTATTTTTAATTTTTATATATTTTATAAATTGTACATATTGTATTTCAACACTATAATTTAAAAGTACATCACACTTTTGAGGTTGCTATTGGGGTTAGATGAAAACCAGATTGATTTTTTTTGTTAGATAGTGAGCCATAATTATAGCACCTGCTATCTATTAGGAAAATAGTATAAAGTTAACTATGGTTTAGGTAACAGGAATAATTGAAACATCTCTCTCTCTATACACTCTCTCTCTCACACACACACCATATACATATATGTCACATATGGAGGTCAGGAAAAACCTTTAACAGCAGGATTTCCTCCTGTCTCTTGAGATGTGCTTGTTCATATGCAGGCTCCAAAAAGTTTTCAATTTAATCTCAATTATGGGACTCAGTTTCCTTCATTCTTATAGCAAACAAGGACCCAATGACAGGAAGGTGAAGGAGAAAGTTCTAAATATTTCTCTTCATATACTCCTCCGCTGACATAAACAGATAATTTCCAAGGGTAGAAAAATTCTGGATGATAGATATAGATATGAAGCTCTAAAGGTGAACTGCTCACAAATATATGCTTCCATTACTTTATGTATCCTATTTTAGGTTTCTTGTTTTGCTCTTTGGTGTGAGAAAACTTGCTTTTCAATGGAAAAAACCTCTAGTCTGATAGAGATTTACAGGTACAAGGTACTAGCCAACACTATTCACAAACCTATGTAGCAAAGAGCAGAGTTCGAGAAACATTCATTTGTACAAACTCTCCACCCCACCTCTTGCCATTAAAGTTGTACATCTCTTTCCTCCAGTGTGAAATCTATAGAATTAATGTTAGAACATGTGCCTTTGAATGAGAAATGAAACCATCTGAAGGTTTCTGATATTAATCAGTTTGAGAGCTTTAAAGCTATCTTGGGTGCTTTGATTAACAACCCCTCCTCTCACAGGAAACATGGAGCTTTAGGAATCAGTAATCTTAGGGCATTACACTTAATAGAATCAGCTTAAAAGGGATTACCGAGAAGGGCCTTTTGTGATGCTTCAGAGACTCAATGGGGCCATACTCAAAAAGGTAATAAAGCCCTTCAAGATTTGATAAGAAATGAGAATTCTAGGCAGCTCTGAAAGTACCACTGACCTGGTCAAGATATCAACCTTTTTTTCCACCATGTCTTGGGAATGTGGACTTGTTCTTTATAGGATTTCATTAGGAAAAAACAATCCAAGCAAAGCTGTGTGCTAAGATTGCATATTTTTGGTCAAGTAGTTGACTTACTGAAATATTATTTAAACTGATTTGTGTAGAGAACATCTCAGTATTCTTATGGGCACTGAATTAAAACCTGGAAGTACCATATATTCTCCCTGATCCAAAACGAAATGGATTTGGTGTAATTACAAGGAAGACTCTATCATAAATGAAAAGCGAATCTTTTGTAGCTTAAAGTGAAGAATAACATGAACCGGCTCAGAAGCCAAATGGGATGGTAGTTTCTCAGTCTCTTTATTGGACTCTTCAGGGCAACGTGTTATCTTAAAGTACACAGAGCCATTGCACTGTGCTCAATGCATCATCTTCATCCTCCATAAACTTTCCCAATGATCAGTGTAGCTCCATACCAAGAGGTTGATTTCTAAGCAGAGATGCAATATATATTGTATACATTAAAAAAAAAAGGAAATAAAAGAAAAGCGTGTGTGTGTGCATATACACACACGTATACACACACGTATACACACACACACAATCATAACTAAATAAATAACTCAAGAAAATGTAAACAATTTGTTTGAATATTCTTTTAGACTCTGTTTAAAAAGAATCAATTTATACATGAACAAGAAAAACCTATTAATAATTCACAACTGCAAATTAGGCATTTGATTTGTTTTTCTTTTTTTCCATAAACTTAATCAATCCTCTCCTAATCCCATTTCCTCTGTTCCTAAGAAGCTCTCATTATGCTAAATAAACTAAATAAAGTAATGCCTTCAAACATTGCACAAGAATTTGCTGTTGTTTTTCCCTCTCAAAATCCACTCAAATTCCATTGGCAATTTGGTATGGAGACATCATCTGACTGATGCTGTATTCCCTAATCAGCTGTGTGACCAGCAAAGTTGTTACAATGTATTTCTTTCAATGGAACTAAAAATGAACTAAGTGTGGACAAAAATTTTATATAGGGTTAAGCACCCCCTCGATTATCTTGGCTTCCACACAGTCTCCAGCTTTATATCAAAATTACTGCTTTGTGAATAATTGGCATCATCTTAATCCTAAACCGATTTCAATTTGGGCAATACATTTGTGAGATAATCTATAGAATACAAGGAGTTGATATAAAGAGATGGTGTTTAAATTTTTCAGTGTTAAGTGAATATAAAATTTCGATTACATTGATATTAACAATGTCAGTAATCACTACTCCAAGATCCCATGATAAGAAGATGGTTTCCAGACTCTTGGAAGAATTTAATGCATGCTAGCAGAGGGAGCAGAACAAGGAACAGATTTACACAGAAACGCTAGCTACCTGGTGCCTTCAGAAGCCAAGGGAGACTGTTCTATTACTTATTTAGCCTAATGACTACTTCGATTCTGAAAGCTTCTGAGAATTTCCCAAAATCACAAGACAGAGTAGAGAGGGGACAGCATTGATCAAAGTTCCAGAAAAAAAAAAAGACAAATGAAATGCCATTATTTGTTTTCATGACTGCATGTAATAATGTAAGGCTAACACAAGGAAAAAGGAAGAAAACCCTCACATATGCCCACAGGAGGTGCTTGGTAAAGTTATTCACTTTTTACTTTAATTAATGTATTAATATAATGCTTAGCCATTAAGCCTTGGATTGATAATTTTTTAAAAACTGGTCTATGAACAGAATAAAGATTGATCCGTAACTATTTTTATATTTTTCAAAGCCTATATATATTTCTCCATTATTTGCATAACAAACATAACAGATTAAATTGTTTTGAATAGATTTTGAGCACCTACCCAATGCTGATCATAATCAGATGATCTTCCTCTACCTTCTTCTTCATCATATAAAGGTACACCTTCTCTCCTTGCCTGATGATACTCTTTCCGTAACTTCTGGATGCGATCAGCAGTTCCAATAGATGGACGATCACTGGAAAAAAAGAAGAAATATATCAATAATATTTCAGTGTACTTACTTTCAGCTGGTTCATGTCTGAATTCATTCAACAAATGCAATTTTTCACTTAGCTTCATTTCTTCATAAACCACAATTAGGTAAATAAACACATATAGCACAGGGGTGGGTTCTACTTACCTTTACTACCAGTTTGCAATGGGAGCGCGCATACACTCTCTCGCTTCACGTGCTTCTGCGCATGCACAGATCGTCAATTATGACGTTTGGGTGGATGGGCAGAGCCTCCTGCCACTTTTACTATCGGTTCTAAAGAACTAGACAGAACTGGGAGCAACCCACCACTGATATAGCATACTGGGCTAGCTGGGTTTTTTTCTTTTTTTACAATTTTACTTCTGTTTGAAGACAATCAGATATGGCACATATAATACGTCAAATATTAATCAGAGTTCTTTGTAGGCTTCATTATATAGGTAGTCCTTGTCTAGTGATGACCTCATTTAATGACTGTTTGTAGTTATGACAGTGATAACAAGGTAACTTTATGACCAATCCTCACATTTACAAACTTCGCAGGTCTGTAAAGCAAAGGAAAGCTGAAGTAAGATTGTAAGCACATGGCTTCACTTAGCAACCACTTTGCTTAGTGACCGAGTTGCCAATTGTGGTTGTTAAATGAAGATCACCTATAAATCATTAGAGAAAATACCGTTTTTTTTGGAGTATAAGACGCTCCGGAGTATAAGACGCACATTAGTTTTTTGGGAGGAAAATAAGAACAAAAAAAATTCTGCCTCTGCCTACCAGCATCCATCGGTATTCATCTGGTATGAAAGTAGCATCCTTGCAGCAAACAGCAAACAGCCTGGTCAGCTTCAGCACATTATCGTAGCCTGATTCAGCACAAGCAGCTGATTGCCGTTGGATTGGCCTCCCGGAATACCGCCAATCAGCTGTTCCAGGCTGCAGGGATCGCCACAGCCCATTGCCACCTCTGCACGTCGCATTTTTTGTCTCCGCATGCCCCTTTTTTGGCCTCTGCGTGTTGTGTTTTCAGCCAGTTACAGGCACTGGGGATCACTACCACCACCAATCCCCGGCACCTGGAACCAGCTGAAAACGCGATGCGCGGAGGCCAAAAATGGGGCATGCAGAGGCCGAAAATGTGATGTATGGAGGCCAAAAATGTGATGCGCAGAGGCAGCGATCAGCAATGGTGTGTCTGGTGATCCCTGCAGCCTGGAACGGGTCTAAAACAGGGCCGTGCAGAAGTTGAAAACATAATTCACGGAGGCCAAAAATGCGACGTGCGGAGGCAGCAATGGGCGGTGATGTGCTGTGGTGATCCCTGCAGCCTGGAATGGGTCTAAAACAAGGTGTGCGGAGGACAAAAACAGGCGGCGAGTAGGGGCTGGCGGGTGGCAGGGCTTCGGCAACATGCTGTATAAGATGCACAGACATTTTCACCCACTTTTAGGGGGAGGGGGAGAGGAAGTGTGTTTTATATTCTGAAAAATACGGTAATCTCTTAGCATTATTCAGGATATCTGGAAAATGGTACAATCATAGCAGAGTCCTATTTATCCTGAGTTCTTTCTTCTTAAAGAACTATTTTTCATCTGCACATTAAACTAGCTTCTTGACATATGTTAAGAACAATTATCACAGAGAATAAGTGCCTCAGAGAGAAAGTCCATTCAGAGGGTAGTAAGAACAGCTGAGAAGATTATAGGAAGCTCGCTTCCTGTCATTCAGGATACTCCTTATAAGTGCTATGTGCTTAGAGCTGAAAGCATTGTTAGAGATCCCACACACACACTTCACAGTCTGTTTCTGTTGCTCCCCTCTGGGAGGAGGTTTTGAAGTATTTCTAGCAGGACTACCACATTATGTAACAGCTTTGTTCCCTATGCCATCTTTTCCTACAAGCCTTTGTCAGACTACTGTGTTTGTCCATCTGACCTCTCTTCCCTCCTTTATCTGTCACCTAACAAAACTTGCCAGTACTTGCAGAAGGTTTGTTGAAAGGGCTATGGCACGGCATGATTGGTATCATCTACAAATTAATGTTGAGCTTAGGCTACACGCAAGAGCAACAACAAAAAAAGTTAGCTGATCAAGATTTACATTTCCTGTTTTCTGTGAATTTAAATGTAAACTGAGACATGGTGGTACAGTGGTTAGAATGCAGTATTGCAGGCTAACTCTGCCTAATGCCAGGAGTTCGATCCTGACCAGGTCAAGGTTGACTCAGCCTCCCATCCTTCCGAGGTTGGTAAAATGTGAACCCAGATTGTTGGGAGAAGTAATTGTAAACCACTTAGAGAGGGCTGTAAAACACTATGGAGCAGTATACAAGTCTAAGTGCTATTGCTAGGTATTAAACTAATTTGATTCACAGTGATATTTTTAGATACCATATTCCTTTTTTACATCTGCTCAAATGTAGGGATTATATGAGGAGGAAGAAACAATAAGTTTTCTGAGGATTGAAAGAGGCTTGTTAGATAGTACAAGTTCCATGCACGTGGAATATAACAAAGTGCTCCCATGTGCATAGCAGATGTTAATGATTTTTAATAAAATAATGACTTATTTCACAGCACAATAGAGAGGATACCATTCAGCCTCCACATTTCCTGTATTCATCTAACTGTGATACATAGAGATGTGAAAGCATTTTGCTATGGACCCTGACGGGAGCAATTTCAGTTTTTCACTCTCAACTGATCCATGGGAGTGAGATGGGGAAACAAGCTTTCACCCTTCCTCAAGGACTAAAACAAACAAACAAAAATCTGATTTTTTTTGGTAAATATACAGTTTATGTCTTTTTTGTGCTTTTCACAGTGCAAATGTTATAAGTCTCCTAGCAGTTTGGTTAGGAAATGGCTTCTTCTTTCCGATGATTCTTGGAATAACCAAGTGACATTTTGCAAAAGAAACAACCCTTACCCCAAATTAATCAACTGGATTATATCTGGATATTTTATTAAAAATCCCGACATAAATCTGCCAAAATGGAAATCTACCATGCAGAGCAGGCAGTAAAATGGATTTGCACATCCTGAGTAATATATTTGGATGTGACGCCTTATAAATGTGCACCACAGTCATGTTTAATAACCTTTACTAGAGTCATACATTTCCTTACATGGATATTCTTCCTGCCTGGAAACTTTGCAACCCTTGAAGCAAGCACATCTGATCATGATTTCACAGTTCACACAATTTTTTATCAAGGCAGTTTCTGTTATTATGAATCAGTGTCTTCATTTTCAGACATCATGCTTGATGGAATAATAAGTTGCCCATGCTGGCAATTTCTCAGCTGCATCAGAACTCCTTGAGAACTCCTTTGCAGAACAATTATGAGATTACATGGCCCACAGCCTTACAAACCTAGGTTCATATAAAACTGACTGTGTTGCATTGGATTGTATGGCCTGTTGGCAAACCAACCTCAATTTAATTGCAGGGCAAAACTATCAAGTTCCACACTAAGATCTAATTTCTGAGCGGGACATAGCAAAGGAGAGCTAGATTTGTGTATTAAGACAATTTTTTGCACTATACCTTCATTGCAAACCTCCCCCCACCAAAAAAAAAACACAAATAAAAACCAGACCACAGATTTTGAGGAATTTTGCTCAATCAGGGTTGACAACAATATAATTAAAGGGATTTAAACCTAACTGGGGATAGAAAGATAAACTGTGTAACAAAAAAAGCTAACTTCAAGTCCCAGGCAATGTAAAATGATTGTGATATCCAATCCTTTAGCAGTTCAGAATTTCAGCTTGCCTCCTGACAATTACATGAATATATGAACTACATTCAGAGTCGCCAGATGAATTCAATCAGGGCCAGGGAAATATCGCATACATAATCTATTAGTTTACCCCAAAGGAACTGAAGCATTGAATTCAAACAAAATGAAGTCATCAGTAATAATAATGATAAAAAAGAAACGTATAAGGCAATATTAAAAAATCCACCATTTTCTCATATTTGTAAGAAAAAAAATCATACCAATTGCAACCTATTCTTCCATCTGACTATATATACATATATTTAAAACTTTGTGTTTGATCAGATAGCCATTCTAAGGTAGAATTATGAAAAAAGAAAACAGATTTTAGATGCACAGGAAGAATAAATGCTTGTCTTAAAAAAAGCAATCATAGGTTACAAAAGAAGTGCAAAAATTTATGCCAACTTGAAAACTTGGCATAATACAATATGATAAGAATTACCATTGGAATCTATCTCTGAGACTTGTAATCGCTATTTAATTTAGGAACTGTCTGAATGGGGGAGAATGTAATTTTGGTTCACCCTGACACCATCTACATCTGTGAACTACACTTAATACTTGGTATTTGTCATCCTTGCAAGGTAGAACTAGACAGGAAACTTGGCTGATGAGCTAACTCTACCTTATTATAAGGTTATATTAATAGAATCTTGCATGTCTGAAAGTACATTAAAGGAGAATATTTGCAGCTCAGGATTGAAAAGAGTGGTCCTTGGTGCTCTCTGAACTTGATAGTTTTCTTGCAGATGTTTCATTACCCAAACTAGGTAACACTTTAGTGTTTGGGTAATGAAACTTATGCAAGAAAACAACCAAGCTCAGACAGCACCAAGGACTCCTGAAAGTACATTTTTACCCACTCCTCCCTGTTGCCTTTACAGTCTAAGAAACTAGGGAAGGCCCCTTTTGAGTCACTTGCTCTGCCTACCTTCTGCTGCAAGACGTCTTTTATCTGACTATTCCCTTGGCTGTGTCTCTTCACTCTGTCTTTCAAGGCCATTACAGTATCAAAGAGGGGGGGAACAGCCCATAGTTAATTAAACCTCAGTCAGATTTAGGCCACAATCAGTATCCATCCACCAATATAGACATCACGTTGGTGTCACCAGTAGACTGAATATATGAAGGCAAAGAGGAAACAAGAACAAGTATATATATACTAGTTCTGGCTTTTGAGTACTAGTTGAGTAAGGGT